CCTGCGAAGATCGCGATCGTTTCCGCGCGGCACTTTTCCGAACTCTCACCACCCTCTATCCTGATTACCTCGCGTCCCTCCCTCGCACTGGCAACTGTTTCCCCCGCTTCCACCGCATCGTCCGCTACCAAGCGCTTCCAGAATCTGCAGCCGGAATGGAAAGGTTCCTGCCCCCGCTACCCCTAAGCCCTCCACCCCGCCATGCCGCCATGCACCGGCTCCCTTTTCCCCTTCCAGTTAATTACTGATGCAACCGGTAATGGATGCGTGTCGCGGTAACGGCACGAGAAAAATCCCATCCTTGGACCGTTGAGAGCCCAATCTGAGGAAGTAGTAGAAGAGCAAAGTTGCCACGTTGGATGACGTCCGCACGCAATCGAACGGTATGTGGCATAAAGAGAAGTGCTCCGCGTGTCGATCGATTAGAGAAATCGACATGTGTCAACAAACAAGCAGGAGCTTGCTAATATTGGAACCCCCTGGGCGTCACATATGTGACGAACCACTTTCTGTAACGCGCGACTTCCTACGCGGTTGCCACGAGGGGTCCTAAGCTGGGAAGATTGGGCCAATTACGGGAAATCGGGATCCATGGAAAGTTGCATCAGTACCCTTGCTTTCTCGTCTTTTTCGTCGCTTCTTGTCGGATGACTGGGTACGGAGTTGGGTGTGTCTTGGGACGGCCGGTTGAGTGATTGGTCGGATGGATGTCTGGCGTGCCACCGCGCGCGCGATTAATAAATGTTGACGTCGTTTCTTTCGTTTCGGTTTCGATCTTTTGGGCGCGGACATCGCGCGGGAAATTGCTTCGTTCTTTTGAATCTTTCCTTTGAGTCTTTTTCGAATTTTGTCGAGCCCCCCCCGATGGCTCTCGGAGTTTTTGGACTTTCCTTCTGGAATTCGTGCTTTTTGCTTTTTCGCATTAAATAGGAATTTAGGAATTCAGTAATTAGGATTTTTCCTGCCGCGCGGCGCCTTTTGTTTTCGCGCTTCTTCATGCGGCTGCAACGGTACTCTGATTAGTGGGCGCCCTTAATCGTATGTGTAACTGTAATTTTGGGCAGGCGCCATGGTAACTGTATCTCTCTTCTTGCACTTCGTCTCTCCCGCCCTCCCTTGCTTTCTTTTGCTGGAATTTTGTAAGCCGCGGCCTGCATGCTCGGATCGATGCGTGGAGAAGGGTTACGTCCCCCACGCCGCGGCCGATCATGCAGAACGTAGGCGTCCTTTCTCTAACCCCCACTCTTAGTCCTAGTAATTCCGCGTTCTTCGCGCATGCATGCACGCTATAAATTTTGGCTGCGCGAGTAGTGAGCTCTCTTAACCCGTTATTGGAAGCTCGGGGTTGTGTGATCAGGAAGGGTCGGCACACGAGCGAAGTAAGAGGTGAGTAGAGTAGGAGTTGGGCGACCCGACGGGCTGGTGCCGAGCGCGCGGGATTGACGTGGGCCTCGACAGACTGTGGGCACGGGCGAATCCGACGGGTGCGGGAGGACTAAGCGGGGTGACAACTTCGTGGGATGGTGCGTGACGACGAACTGTCCGCATCGGAGAGAGAGAGAGAGAGGAAGAGAGAGTTGAGGATGATGGACGTGGATTTGCGGTTTCTTTGTCTCTTCCCCCTCTTCACCTGTGTACATACATTTTGATTACGGCTCCGGGCGGTTTGCCCGTTCTTATTTTCGTTTCGGCTTTCTGAAATCTAGGCTTGGATTATTGCTCACATTTGTCTTCGCGATGTCCGCTTTTGCTTGCATTATGTGTATGATTGTCGAATGTATGGATGCATGAATGTTATGTCTGCTTGCCTATCTCTTTGCGGAAAATCCCTGCCTTGCTTTTTGTTTGTGCCGAATCTTTGCTTGCACCAGGTGCAGCAATAGATGGGATAAGAGTCTGGCCCCGATGTAGATTTCGTTTTTGCTTGTCCCCTGATGAGGATGTGGTATGATTGCATCTTGCATAACCGAGACTTACGAAGCAATTAGGCGCGAAGTCCGGCCCCGCGAGCGCCGCACGAGAACACTTGTAAACGCGATCCGAGTCGCGCCTTTGCACGCATTCTCGGGCGTCGACTCGCTCACTATCCCATCGGCAATGATACCATGACGCGATCTTGGGGCTCAGACTCGTCCTATGACCCGGACTATTTCACCCCTATAGTAAACGAGCTCATAAGGATCTGATACCCTTGTCACACGGAGAATCGGCTATGTCCGCGGGAATTCCACTGTGCCACCACTAGCGACCCTCGGTGCTCCGATTTCCCTTCCCCCGACCACACCTACTACTTCACCCACCCGGGATTCTTTGAGATCACCACCAGTTTCCCTCCTTTCCGCCTCCTTCTCCCGTATCATCAGCTCAGTGTCGTTCCATGGCCGGCCATAGCCCCCTATTGGCCCAACACATTTTGTGATAACTGCCGACGCAGCGGCGCACAAAGAGCCCCAGAATTCCGAAGGCCCAACCCAGGCACGCAGCGGCCTGCGCCACGTGGCGGCTCCCGACGGCCTAACTTTTCAGGACCATCTCCACCACGGAGGAATTTTCCCGTAACCCGTCGCCCACAGTGCCCCGGCCCCATCGGACCTTGAGTCCCTTGCGCACACCCGCCTAATTGCATTCATACCCTTAAGACTCCCCCACTTTCCCCAAAAATCCTTGGCACACCCCTTTTTGCACTTCCAGGCCCACATCCCACTCCGATCAGGAAGTCGCGCTGGGCGTGAGGTTGGGCGTCACATACCGCCCCTGCCAACCTGCTCTATGCAAAATGAAAATGAATCTTCGGCTTAAACATGGAAATATACATTGCCATAGTTTTTGTCTTTTGTGCATTTGGTGAGCGGTGCAGCGAGGTTCTTTGTCCATTTTTTTGTTCTTTTGGACTCTGTTGTTTTCTCTTCATTTTGTCGTATTCAGATTCTGGCAATTTGCCCTGAGTGAGGTTGTTTTTGCCTAGAGTCTCTCCATGTCATTATCTAACTTTTGCAGTTTAGGCCATACTCAAACTAGGGCTTTTCTGGATGTATCCCACTCGTTCAACGAAGCCCTGGTAAGAATGCCCTCAGTCAAATCACCAGTATGTTTCCCAGCAGAGAATCAAAGTCGCGGTGTGCATGCTGCCACGACTCTCGGGAAGTACCAGGGCGCCGTTTCGCTGGACATCCATCCAGGCAAAGCCAGTCTCGCATCCGACCCGTTCTGCCGGGTTGGACGTGGACGTGCCGCAAAACGGCACCCCGGTCCTCCCGAAATTCACAGCAGCATGCACGCCGCGCCTGCGATTTTCTAGCTGGGAAACGTACTGGTGGTTTAAGTTGTGGCCTTGCTTTTGGTATCCTGTCTGAGCCATCGTCTGAAAAGTTCGGTGTGGTTTGCCTTCACTCCTCTCCTCCAGGATCCATCAACCATAGTGACAGTAAGATTGTTGCTGCAGTGACTGGCAAACATCGACCTGTGACCACGGCACACAGTATCATCATTCCTATGAAACGAGCACGCACGCTTAAATACCCCCCTGCCGCGCTCAAAGCGTTTTGAGGCGCGCGCTCTCGTCAAAAAAAGTGTGCGCACGCGCCATGGGGTTGCACGAAGGCAGGGGATGTCCTGGGAGGGGTTGCGCAGAACAAAAAAAGTTGGGTGGTTGGGGGTGATTTTTTTTCTTGTTTTTTATGTTTTTTATTTTTTTTTAAATATATACAAACTTCGAAAACATACAATAAAAAATATGGGGTCGTTGATCTCCAAAACATCTACAAGAGTCACGGGACCCAGCGGCCTAGCTCAGTTGGTAAGGCATGCAAGTGGCATTCAGGAGGTCTTGGGTTCAATCCCCATTGGCCTCTTGCACCTTCCTGGGCAAGCTTGGCCCCCGCCACCTAGAGATATGCCGTTGGTCCCCCCGAGTGGCATTGAGCAGAGACTGCTGATGTTCATAGGGGGAGGGGACCGGAGGAGAGGCACAGTGACTGGCCCATCGAAGAAGCTCGGTCCTGATGCTACCGGCTGACCCCTGGCCGGTATCGCCCACCTGCTATAGCAGGTATCACACCTGCTGGTGGGTGCAGCTCCCGCATGTTCCCTCATTGGAGGATGTGGCTGCTACGGGGTTCCCCGTAATACTATAATGACAATAAAAAAAAGGCCTGAAAGGCCGTCCTGTCCAGATTTGACAGGTAATTGAATTGGTTGGGCTTCAAAGAATTAGCCTTTTTTTTTTTTTTTTTTTTTAAAAAACAAGAGTTACGAGACTGTATTTTTTATTATTTATTTTGTTATTTTTTTGCCTGCAGAAAAATCTCTGTGAAAAAAAAGAAAAACCCACCCATTTCATTTTGTTTTTTTTTGTTATTTTCTTTCTTTTACGTTGTTGATTTTTTTAAAATAAAAAAGTTCAAAAAATTAAATAAAAAACATAGGCTTGTAGATCTCAAAAATATCTACAACCCTGTATTTTTTTTATTTGTTTTTTGCTCATTATTTTCCAGGGAAAAAACTATTCCCGCGCTCGCTTAAAGCTCGCTCAAGCACTTTGAGCGCGGGATTGAGCGGAGCTCAAAACTTTGAGCTCCGACCCCGTGGTCAATCAGCACGCGGTAAC